TAACATTGCAGCTGAGCACGTGGCGTTTCAGGAGCAGCCACCAGTGCTGAGGGGGTTGGCGGTGTTCGTGTTTCAAGCGACTTCCCATCTTAGAACAGCAAGTTCCCCTATACGTAAGTGTAGTAAAGGAAAAGGTTTATTCTTTAACTGGAACTACTGATAAGGAGTGTATATTTTGATCATAAAAAAAGAAGAAAGTTTATGGTTCCTGTTGCTGTTATGGAATAGGATCCTTCAGGTTATTGTTGCATTTTTATTTTTTCATGGTCTTTCTTCCAATAATTGAGAATCACTATTGAATAGCAAATTATGTAAAGCTTAATTTGGCTGTACCGTTGAACCTACATCACCAGGAAGGCTCAGGGGGCTTAGTTCCGTTAAAACAAAAATCTTCTTGGGAGTTGGCAAATAAAGAGTGCATGTATGGAGAAACTCTAGTAATAATAATAATAATCTAGTAYTGTATTTCTTCCCCAGCTGCCAACACACACTCTTTGATGGGCCCTCATGCAGCAGCAGAATGAGTTACCTTGTGAACAAGCAGTGCACGGAGAATGCAGCCTCCTTTTGAAAGAAGCCAAAGATCAGAAAGAGCAGGCTGCAGATTTTTAAGAAATTCTGGCGTGTAGCTGATGTCAGACCAAATGCTCCCAATTTGTTATGAGAAAACGTACAAAACRTGCGAACAAAAATCCTAAATGTATTGGAAAGGAAAGAGTATATTGTGTTTCATGGTCTGTCTTCTGCTCAAGACCTAGGTGCCGTCATTAAATTCCTACAGCTTTTATGCTGTATGTGGATGGGAGGCCTAGTTCTATTGTAGCTTATGTCTTTTTGTCTAACAGTAATGTCATTGTTATATATATTTTTTTAATATTGAGTGAAGAATTTTTCACAGCATCATATAAGGACTTAATAAGTGCAGGGAGCAAARTCTTGCAGAGATACTTGTTTTTAAGCAGGCTTTTTTATGTCAGGGAAGTACTTCTGCTTGCCTTGTAATCACATTGAAACATGGAAAGAGCTACTTCTGAATCTCAGCTCTGATAGAAAATAAAAGCCTACRTGATTATTTTAAAACTTCCTAACTGTTCCTTATCAACTTGTCTCTTGTTTTGAAGAGCTTGACCAAAATCTGTTYTCAGATTAAGTTACGTTTAGCGATAACACGTTGGTTAATATTTGCAGCCTCTGACTGCACATGTGCCAGACCCAAACAAGTACCCTAGAAGACATGCTTAGGCCCTCTGTCTTATCACTTGCTTTGCACAAATTAGGCCCACTGGGTTTATCTCATACTAGTGCTAGCAGTGAGCACAGAGAGATGAAACGTGTGTTTTATCTCATGCCTGTCCTCTTGCTGTCAAGACCTTTGCAAAGTGCTCTCCCAGGCAGGTTGCACATAGGAAAATACATACTGGAAAAGGATCCAATAGGGCACAGAATGCACAAGTTCCTCTGGTACTTGCTGCTTCTAGGCCATAGCATCGATTTGCACTGGAGTAGGGTTTTACAGGACACACGTAAGCAAATCGGCGTCGGGTGAGTTGTTCAAATGTAATTGCACATACTACTGGAAACCTTATTTCTGGTCTGAATTTCCAGTCTTACTCATGCCTAGCTTTGATTTCCAACCTTGAGACCTCAGTTACTTCATTCTGATGAAGTTAACTGTCAGGAACCCATTTTCATTGGGCTCCTTCTGAGTCAGATTAGTCCTTTGCCTTCCCAAGGATGAGTGCGAGAGGGCGAGTGCTTGCTTTAGCTGCCATTGGAATTTCCTCCGTTATGTATGTCCTTTCCCGCGTTTCTGAGGGAAGCCTGGCCCTCGTAGGCCTTTGGACCTGTTGCGTTTGACACCTCCTGCTTTTTGCTTGGTTTGGCTGTGTTCCCTTGGGTTCCACTAAAAAGCTTCATCGTTCTTGTTTCCTGGTGTCAAATGCAATTTCAAGCTRCTTTGCTTGACTGCAACCCCCACTCTTGTTGACACATGGAGGAGCTCCCTTGATGAGCTGAAATTGTGTGTTAGGTTGCTGAAGCCTCCAGATGTGCAGTCCTTGAACTAGTAACTCGCTTTTGGATGGGACTGAATTCTTGGACATCCTGAAATGGGGCACTGAGAGTCAGAGCACCAGGCTCAGTAAAATTGGATTTTCCACTTCTTACTACCCAGTATTCCCAGCTCTTTGGGAACACTCTGGTAGGTGTCCCAGTGGGAAGCAGAAAACCTTAAAGGCCAGGCACTTGAGACAGCGTCTTTTGAAATCAAACCTTGAATATACAGGTGGCTTAATAGATCTCATTGCAAATTCCTGTGACCTTTCTTCATATTCAATAAATTAAAGGTTAAATTTGCATAATTTCTTGGACGGTTATTTAGTCGCTTCTCTCCACTCACCTTTGYACAGACTTGAGAAGTTCAGTGGAAAAAAGAAAAAAAAAAAAAGATGGAAAAATACAGAGAATATGTATTCAGCCTTTTCATACAAATCCTGAGAGTCTCTTAGGAAGCTGAGAAGAGAAAGGGTCATTTTCTTTGCACAGAGCTTCTTTCCACTGTGGGAATCTCTGTTGCATTGTGTTTTGAAAGCTAAATTTCATGTGAGTTTGGAGAATAAAAGTGGTCATGAAGGAGAAATCCAGGAAGGAGAGTTTTAAAACATTGTAACTGAGTGTTTACATGGGTCTCGAGTCCCCAAGTGTCAGATCTGCATGCTGGTAGCATCTCCTTAAGTTGTGCCCTGCTCGTATATACTCTTCCCTGAGAATGTTCCCATGTTCTCTTAACCTCTGTGAGGAAGCAAGACCCTAAAATAGATGGCCGTTCTTTCTGATGCTCCTAATTTTTTTCCTGCTTTTTAATATATATTTTTTAAATTGAGTTAAAATGTCCGTACTTAAGTACAGTTTCAGGAAAGATCTAGAAATAAATGAATTTCATGCTTTAGGTATTACAAAATAATACTTAAAAATACTTCCAGGCATCTTGGAAATGGTCTTTTCACCCAGCCCGAGCTTTAGGTGATTTTGGAATCCACCTATATTGGTCTTTCTCACATACACTGATCTTTGTGACACAAAGCGCTACACCCCCCACAGAAACCCCTTCTGCCAGTCTCCAGCGYGTGCCCCGGCGTTAAGGGCCGGTGATGGCCCTGCAGGTCTTTGCTGCCCAGAAGCTCCTGCGTCGCAGCCGGGCGGCCACCCGGGGCAGGGCTTGGTGCCCAGAGCCCCGCGGCCCCCGCTCCTGCCCGGGCTCGCCCTGCGCCTGCAGCCCGCTGGAGGCCATGAGGGTAACCCATGAAATTGGTAAGAGCGACATTCCCGTTTTGTTGGGTTTTGGGGCTTTTTGGGAAGCTTCTGTGTTTTCCTTTCTGTTTATCACAAGAGTTTAGTAATAAAAATGTTTGCAAAATGTAAATGTTGTGGTTAAATATTCATGGAACAAAAGTAGAAATGGCGGAAGAGTGATACTTTCCCTGCCTGTGATTTCCCACTGGATTTTTGTGGTTGCTTGTAGAGTTTTTTATTTGGTTTTGCTGAGACAGGGAAGGCTTTTCCTTTGTTCCAGTGAGTAACTTGCAAAATATKTTGGTTGATTTACTTCAGCAGCAGCTGAAAACATATTTGTCTCAAATGCACCCAAGGCCAAAGGCTTTCTGCTCTCCTTTCTGTTTGTTTTGCTTTTGGGGCTGCACCTGTAATGTAAAATCTAAGGAAGAGTTTGGGATTTGGGAAAAAAATAACAGTTTATCTTAGGATCTGAAAATGCATTTCCTTGGAACTGACATATGGAAAGCATTTTGGAACTAACATGTGGAAAACTTGGGTTTTTTTGTTTGTTATATGTTTGCAATTCAGCTGGGTTTTGAGAGAGTAGTAGCAGACATTGACTGTTGTTTCTCCGACTGAATTGCAGAATGCACTTTGCATTTGCTGTAATTTGAGGAATATTGGAGGGGTTTATTGTGTTGTTTTATTTTCCTACCTGTATTAGTCTCTTTACTAAAATGTATTGCTTCTGTACCCAAAGGTAAATAAAGTGGGTGTAGTCAAATTCATTTAAGAAAATGTTGTGCAACTATATGTGCAGCCTTCATTTGTTTCTTAGGCTGTTTAAACTGACTTTGCAATTGCTGAACAAAATGTGACCAGTGAAATGAGCCTATGCAATGAAATATTTAGGAATAATGTTGCTGAAATGAAATAGTTGATCACCATTAGAGGACTTTTTAAATGGCTGCTGTGTCCCCAGCACAGAAATGCTAGGCTCGTAATAATCTAGAAGCTGCTGGGTGCTACTGCATAATTAAAGAATCGTTGCCTACTCTGCTTAAATTACTGGAAATGTAAATCTTCCTGGTCCTGGTGGAGTAGGTGTAGCCTGACCATCTGACAGGAATTTGCAGTGATCTGTGCAGCCTTGCTGATTATTTGCAGCATCGMTGAGGGCTTTTCATAGTCCAAGTGGTTACGAATAAAATGTCTGTGAGAACAGAATGCATTCGGAGAAGAACCTGAGGTATTTTATTAGAGCACTGAGGGGCCCATAGGTGCTTAAAAATGTGTTTGTGTTGGCACTTGTGTGTGCTACAGTTTACATTTTAAAAATAAACTAATATATAAAGCTCATAATTTTGCAGAGGGCTTTCTGCTGGCTTATGTACTTCACTCATCGCTGTTTTTCTTTCTTTCAGTTCTTTCTTTGCCAGTAGTTCCTAATCTGCTTGAATGATACTGCTTTCTTAATTCTAACACTTCTCCATTATAAAGCAGAAGAAATCTTTATATGTATTTACTGCATAGAATTTACCTCACTAAAAAAATACATTTTTGAAGCTTTATATCCTTCTTTGCGGTTAAATGAATTYGCCTTATTCTGACAGGATGATGAGGATGCTACTTCCTCATTTTCTCTCTTCTTCCTCTTTGGTCTCTGCTGAACTGATCAACCTGCTTTTCTTCCCTTTGCCCTCCCTCGCCCTGCCGTGTGGCCGCAGTCCCCACCACGGCCGCCAGCACTCCCGACGCCGTGGACAAGTACCTGGAGACGCCGGGCGACGAGAACGAGCACGCCCACTTCCAGAAGGCCAAGGAGCGCCTGGAGGCTAAGCATCGGGAGAGGATGTCTCAGGTAAAGCCAAGGGGGCTGGCTTCAATTCCGCATCTGCTGGCGGGGAGCTTTGTCTCTGGCACCGTAAGACGCGGTGAATCCCTCGTGCTCTTATTCCCCAAGGCTTCCCCCACTGCCCCGCCTGTCTGCAGTGCTACCTACACGTAGATCGTTTGCTGCCTTTCTGACTGCATGTCTGTAGATGTAGCTGTCTGACACACATGCTGCACTGCATCGCATCRGTGGGGATAGGCTGCTGCAGCTCTCTTGTGCTGGTAGAAAGGGGAAGAAATGAGAGATTGATCTCGGCTTTGCAGAAGAATGTTGGGTTTGTGGGATTATCCTTTTTTTAAAAAAAAAACAGGCCTCTGTAAAAATACTCTGTAGTTCATCTTGTCTTTGTACCAGGGAAATTCCCTATGGGTAGCTTCATTTAGGCGGCATGTATGTGAAATGCATCTAAAGACAAAGAAAAAAGGGGAAAAATAGTGCTTTTGAACTGAACAATCCAGATTTCTTTTTACTTTAACCCAGTAGGCTCCTGTAGACTGAAGCTGTTACTGCATGTTTAATCCTGTTAAGCACTGTTGAGTTATCGCTCTTTCAGAAACAGGGTTTATAATAGAAAAGCCAACAAAAATCGTGACAGTTCTGCTCTAATAATAGCAAGGGAAAAATATAAGAGGTCTGAAGGAAAGCGTGTGGCGCATATTTTAGAATAAAACAGCAAGAGAAAAATAATGTACCATAATTCAGAAGCCCTGACTTTACTCTTAAGGTATTTTACTGTAATTTCCCACTGCAGTTTTCTTCCCCAATTGGATTTTCAGTTTTTGTGTATTACAGGTGCGTGAGCAAGGCTTTCCGTGCCAAAATGACGAAGCAGGACCGAAATGAAGCTTTTAGGAAAAGCCCCCCTCTGTGTTAGTGCTCTTGGCCTTGTGCTTTCCCATGGATGGGCCAGGGCGCCCTACAGGCAGCCAGGAGCTGCTGCTGCTGCAGGGGGTTCAGAAGGACGGAGGCTGAAGGAGGCCTAGGGAAAATCAGCCTTCCAGCTGCTGTTTGCTGCCTGTTGCAAACTGCTGCCTCTGCATGCTGTGCTCTTGGGCTGCGTGTCTGGCAGCTTCCTTAAAAACTGCCTTTTGTTCTTCCTTTTAAAGCAGATACATTCATTGGATGGTTTTAACWGAAAGTGTAATTTTAATATATACTGAAAGAATTCTAGATAGATTACACATTTGGTAAGCTTTTACAAAGTCCGTCCTTAAATAAAAAATAAAATAAAGTAGAAAAAATGTAAACTGCTGAGAGTCCCTGACTAAGCCCTCTAGCCTCAAAGAAAATATTTTATTCAATTCCTTTTCTTCAGATTGTAGCTCAAAGTCGTCACCTTTCAGAGCTGAGAAATAGGGCTTGTAAAATTGCAGGAATGCCCATTTTTCTTATATTAAGAGAACAGAGGGAGTGATGAGTGTCTCTGAGGAAAGGATCAAGTAATTCGTGAATCTGGATAAGTGATAATCGGAAATAATTGTGCTTACTAAATACAGACAATGCTTCCTCTTTCTTTTAATGAAGCGGTTTAAAAGCGTGCTTGATTGGATGCACCCTTTGCTTTGTCAGTTAACAAATAAAAATATCTCTTAAGCATTTCATATCAAGTAAAACATAATCATCTGAGTATGAAGCTTTTTTAACCATTTAAAAAGAGTTTTAACATTGAAATGAAGCGTTTTAATCAAAATGCCATCCTGGCAAACGCAGGCCCCGGGCCTGTTGCCTCATTGCGCTTCCCCTCGCCCCCCAGGGAGCCCCCCGGCCCTGTCCCCCTTGCCCACGCGGAGGGTCTGCGCTGCTTTCTCCATGGCCAGGCCGGCTGGGAGCCCTGCACCCCGGGAGCTGCTCCCTGTGCCCAGCTCCAGTGGCGCCGTTTGGATCCCTCCTCCTCCACCTGAGCTCCCTGCCCTGGTCTCTGTGCAGCACCCAGAGCAACGAGCAGCGCCGTTTCCAAGGATTCCGGCCATCACTGTCCAGTGAATTCCCTGAGGGCACCATTTTAAACTTCTCCCAAGAATTATTAACAAAGCATCAAAGAACAGCAGCAAAACTACATTCCCATGTGAATTGGGTAGCTGTTCTCTGTGCCTGTGCAACCTTTACGTTTCTGCTCTTGCCTGCTGTATTTAACAGGGAGAGGTTATGGTAATGGATCTCAGGCTGCCCTCGTTCTGGGTTCCTGTTATGGTACAATTCTGCTTTTCCTCTTCCCAGGTTACTTGTATAAAATTCCCTCTTTTAAATAGTCACTGTTAAACAGCCTGACGTTGAACCTCACTCGAGGGAGCTCTGTATTTACATATTTCCTCTCTCAGACCTCTCAAGGCTTCCTGGTCTCTAAAAATTTTCCTTCTTATGGCTGTTTATGGTGTTTTAGGAGTCAGTTTGTACAGCAGTTATGGTTAGAATTTAATTGTACCCTGTCTCCTAGAATAGTTGCCCTTCTTGGAAGCTTTCTTCCAAGATGCACACCTAAAAATACTGCAGTCCTCAAACAGGTGGAACTTAGCAGGGTGATGGCTAGTGTTGTCTTCAAGATACTTGGTTTATTTCTGAGATGAGAGTGGCATTTTTCAAAGGAGAGCAGAAAGCAGGTCTAAACCAGTGTGTTTGTTAATCACCAAACTGTGTCCATTAAAATGCATGTTGTATCCTGGGGAGAGAAGTATTAGGCCTAGAAGCTACTCAGAGATCACTTCCCTATATTAAGGTCTTCAGTTAGACGAGGGCTGCTTACCCTTCAGGTTCTCTCACAGCTGTAAAGCACTGCAGGAAGAAGTCTCCCCTACTAAATAACTCAGAGGGAAGAAAAGGTTCTTTCTTAAAACCTGCTTCTCCTTTGTCATATCCAGCATCTGTAGTTGAATGCGAGGGTGACCCTCATTAGTCCATCATTGGCAGGGTGGCAGAGGGACCTCACAGGTCCTCATGAGGTGAGGCCAGGCCAGTCGGCCCGTGGCCATCAGGGGCACTGCACGGGCACCAGCCTTGGTTAAGCCCAGCTTCCCCGAAGGGTCTTCAGCAGATTTTCGGCTCCAGTAGCACCATGTTCCTCAGATCCCACCATCTCTGGTTGGGGTGTCTGATGGCTCTTTCTACCCCTAAAACTSTCTGTCGACTTAGTAGCAACTCCTTCTTCTGATGCGCCTCTTTCTCTGACAGTAAATTTCTCTTTGGAGGTAGTTAATGATGTTATTACCAGGAAAAGGATCTAGACTTACGTGTGGTACAAAAGCCCTCCACAAGCAGGTATCTTAATATCATGACTTTGACGTTGTAACRAGGCAGTTCTTCCATCAAGCACCACTGCTGCTATGATTGATGTGACCCGTATGCCTGGCATAAATTCTTCCCTTTGCAGTTAGGTGTCCGTGCAGCAGTGTATAAAATGGGAGTATATTCCACTGGTTTCGGTATTATGTTTCTGTACTTAGCATTTGTCTTCAGCACCAGTGGCCCTTTCCTTCCTTCCTTGCTCCTCCTCTTCCCTCTCGATGGCTCTTCCCTCTCAACACCATCCCAAAAGGAGACTGTTGGGCAGTAAGTTCAGAGCTCTGAGAAAGTGAGACTTGGAAATGGCTCCTGCTTTAAATCTCAGCCAGAAGGTGCTATTTTCCAGCACAAAGCAACCAAGCCTTGCAGTGCCCTCAGTCTGCGTGGCCTTGTTGGGTTTGTGCCTTCAATGGAGGAGAGTAACTTTATTAGTGCAAACGGGACAAGCTCGGCCTCTTTCTACATGAGAGCAAATTTGCAGAATAGTTTTTTGTTTTCTCAGCTGACCTTTGGTTTCCCACAAAATGAATGCTGAGGCATATTTGTTACCTATACATAATATCTCTAGAGCTATGATCTTCTGAAAGAATAGTAGAATTTTTTTTTTTATGTTGAATATGTGATAAGCAGCCATAAAGTTATGTGTTTCACAACACATTCACTGTTGTTGCACCAGAGCTGACCTACAAGTGTCAGAATTCACGTTTTCACAACTAACTGTGTAGCCTGTTAGTTCAGCAGCCCCAAAGTTTCCCATGCCCAGAAAGGCTTTAAGAAATAATAACAGGTAGAGAAACCTGATGTAGCCGAGTGTGTCCTTATCACGTTGCCTACAATATTTATTTTCATCATGTGGGCAATCAGAGCCTCTTTGCCTTTAATTTTTTCAAGGTTAGTGAGGCAGATAAAGATGCCAAAGAAATGTAGTTTTGAAAGTMCACCAGCCACCCATTCACGGAGCAGAAGAGAGTGCTAAGGAGGTGTCAGAGATGCGAACTGAACACACAGGAGAGAAAAGACGACCAGAGCTCCTAATCTAGGCCAGTGCTCAAGCTTTAGCATACACTGTTGTAGTTTATGACTTGAATTAATGCCGTAGGTTCTGGGTCTTCTGTAACATTCACATCTTGGCCCAAGTGATGTCTTAGTTCTCTAGAAAGGTGTCACCTTTGTATGTATATATATATGTATGAGAGTTAGATTTTTGAGCCACCGTACTCGCTCACTTAGGGCCTAAGTACACAATTTAAGAGGTGAGTATTTAATGTGTCCTTAATACAGTGCAGCGCTCTGAGCATTAACAAGTTTTCTCCAGAATACGTCACGGTGCTCTAAATTGCATCGCCRTTTTGTGTCCACCAGGACTGCTTTGTCAGAGCAGCAATAAAGTCTCTTGTGCAGAAGGTCCTATGAGGAACATAACTGGTGACCTGTCAGTGTGGTGCACTCTGCATCGTGGGTGCCAGCTGCTCTGAGCCCAGCTTGGGTGGCTCGTGCTCACCAGATTCCTTGCACCAGATTCCAGTTCTCACCAGTGTGTGCACCAGGGAGCCCCATGAGCAGCGTGAGGCAGYCGGGCAGCTTTGGGCAGGAGCTGGGAGGTGGAGGCTCAAGGGCAGCCAGGAGAAGCCGCAGCGCGAGGCTGTCCTTGCTCATTCATCCTGCTAGAATTTCAGCCATGTGTGTCGGCTACTGGGCTTCCCTGACATCTCCTTGGAAAAACAGTCTGTCTGAGAATTCCTGTTTTAAGTGTGGGGTTTGGTGAGATATGAAGGAAAGGTAGGGAGGARAAGGAAAGGAAGAAATTCATCTGGAATTCTTCTGGCTCTTGCATTGTGTTCATCTTGCAAACAAACAAGTCACTTTTCTGTATGCACTGCATGCTTCCCGAGAAAGAGATTGCTTTGGCACAAGAAGTCCTTTGAGGAAATTGTTGTCTGGAAATGAGATGAGGCAAGTCCCCAAGTGAGACCCTGAGGAGGTTTTGGATGTCCTGCACAGAGTGCCTGTGTGCCATGGCAGGTTAGCAGCAGCCTTTGCTGCTGACTTCCTTACTGAAATACTTTCCTGCCCTCCTTACGGAGGAGGTGGCCTTTTAGGTTGCTGGGAGGAATGAGTTTTCTGCATCGTTTTTCTGCCAGTGCGGTACTTGAATTATAAGTATGTTCGGTACTTGAAATGTTTGGCACCAATTCCTGAACAGACCAGCACAAATTGCATATAATTCTCGATCTGTCCTGCTCAAAGGTCAGTGATGCAGTCCACATAAATCTGGAAATCTTTGTGATAGCACAAAAAAAAAAAAAAAAAAGAAAAAAAACCTTTTAGAATGAGCTGAAGTTTGCTGCTTTTGACCAAGGGCACAAAACAGATAAGATGGAAGCATTTTTCGTGCCCAAGAATGATAAGGGTCTGCGCGTTCACCCAGRGAGGCTTCCTCCTCGTGGTAGCAGCCGCGTGTTGCCCAGGCCAGACAGCAGGATTCTGTCCTTGTTAAACCTTGTAGCTGCCCTTTAGGTACAGAAAGGGGGCAGGTGAGTTTCAGACAATAAGTGTCTGAGCTGCAGCACTTGGCTGTTGCTACAGCCCAAGAGGAGAAGTCACAAGTCACCCTCCTTGTGTTTTCCAGGTCATGAGAGAATGGGAAGAGGCGGAACGCCAGGCCAAGAACCTGCCCAAGGCTGATAAGAAAGCAGTTATCCAGGTAAAGGATTTTTACTGGCAGGGGTTGCAACTAAAGCGCTGTGGGTGCTGGTTGTGATGTGATTTAAAACACATTTATGTGGGGAATTAATATTATATTCCACTTACATTTGCTGCTTTGCTTTCAGCTGCTGGTGGCTTCTAGGTATTTCTGTACTTAAAAAAGAGTCCTTGAAATGTAAATGTAGAACATAATTAGTTACTATGTAGATGGATAAAATTTTACTGGAATTTAGATTTGTCTTCAGAGAGAGCTGAAAGCCCAATTCCGGTAGGCCCTTTTCAGAAATTAACAGATGAGTATGAGCTGCTCGAGTATCTAAGTGCCAGCAGAGACGGGAAGAAGTGATTTGAGGAAGCAATGAACACCATTTTGTATCTGAAAGAAACCTTCAGCCAAAAGGGCAGATGTTCCAGGTGGTGGGACTCAGCACTGTGAGGCTGCATCAGCACCAAAGCTTTAAAGCCATCCAAATTTAGCCCACATTTGTCACCAAACTCATCTGAGTGAGATCTGTAGAAAGAATTGTCCTTTTATGCTTGGGGAAAGCAGACAATCAAGAAAAAAAATAATACTGTAATTCAGAAATTTTGGCCAGCAGCTCTTTGGGACCTGTTGTGTTTGGTTGAGGTATTACTCAGTACTGTTGGAAACATTTCAGGGCAAAACTACAAAAAATAAAGGTAATACTCTGAGCCAAACTGCATTGCATTTTAAATACCAAAGCTTTGTTCTCTGTATGTTTTGCCCAATGAATCTGCCTTGGGACTGGAATAAACTTGGGCTTGTTCCTTCTTTCCAATGGCTAGTTTATGTAGATTTTTTTTTCTACCTTGCAGGTTTGTCCGTAAAGTTGCTTTGATACATGGAACTCCTTTTATAATCACAGGGAGCAAATGTTTGCCAAGCTCCATCTGTTCCCAGGCAGATTGCTGGTGCACCAAACAGCCTCAGGTCAAATGAAGGATTCACTGGTGATTCTGCTGAATATATAAGAATATTTGATAGATTAATAAAAGATGGCCAGGTGTGCAGGAATACAGGGCATCAGCAGTTTGCACTGAAATCAATAAAAGATAAGTTCAGCTCAGAGTTGGGGAGTCACGCTAGACTGGCTAGGCCAGAACGTTTTGGTCATTTGCAAATGGAGTTTTCAATGCCTGCTGGTCTCTGCTCATGTCTTCACTGCCTACACTCTAATATTGTGGGTTTTTTTGTTTTTTTTTTTTAGCATTTCCAGGAGAAAGTAGAGTCACTGGAACAAGAAGCAGCAAACGAAAGGCAGCAGCTGGTGGAGACGCACATGGCGCGGGTGGAGGCCATGCTCAACGACCGCCGCCGCATCGCCCTGGAGAACTACATCACCGCGCTGCAGACCGTGCCGCCGCGGGTGAGCGCCGCCGCGCCGGCCCCCGCAGCCCGCTGCTGCTCCTGGGGAGAAGGAGCGCCCTGCGAGGACACCGCTGAGCGCGCCTTCCCCGTGCGGTGGCTAGCCCGGCTGACAGTCACTCTGGAGGCTGCAGCGCCGGCGTAGAGCTTCATGTGTACACACATATAGGCCCGCACATATAGGCAGATGGATACTGATATTTATCTAAATAACATGGAAGTGTTTTGGTTGTCAAAGACTGTAGCCCCTCACAGATCATGAGCATGATGCAATGCGTGCAAGGGATGCACAGCGGGTACCTCACTATTCCAAGAGGGAGCTTCAGTGTGGACGTGGCTGTTTGTCCAGTTTGTTTGCTGAACTGCTGGAATGAAGGTTCTTGTGAGCATTGGTGGACAGATGAGGTCAGCACACTAGCARTTGGAAGCTTTGGATGGTGTCTAGGAGGGATGTAAACACCAAATTCAGTGTCTGGATTTGAATGGTATTTTTAATGAATCTATATATAGGATGTTTGATTTAATTCCAAAATAGTTGATCTGTGACCTCCAGAAAGAAAGGAGAAAAAAAAAAAAAACCTATGTGAATACTGTGGGGAAAATAGTCAAATATTTTATATTTTTTCTACTATCTTGGATTCTTTGTAGATGTTAGGTCAGTGAAAGGCTTTTCGGTCAGCAATATGTAAGTTGTTTCCATCAGATTCTGAATTTGACCTCAGGGAATTACCTGAATATAACTAATCCGGTAAAATTATGTGATTTTTTTTATAGTGAATTTTCTTCTGTACACAAARCCATATATTCAGCACCATGGAAGAGTGATGATCATTTTTGTGCATGCAGTAAATTGATCTGAAGATTGGTTCTTTGGCAGGCTTGAAATGTAAATGAGTATCACAGCTCTATAATCTTACCATTAGGGTTTGATGAACCAGAATCCAGGATGGGTGGCAGGGTAAGGTGTTAGTTATCTTTTACTTGATTATGAGACAATAGTTTAAGCATCTTTTGATGCTTCAAAAGAGCRTCTTTTGAGCAGCTCTGCTACTAGAACATGCTTAACAGTTGCAAGGAAGAAGCATTGCGAAAAGCTTATATATATAATACAGACATTTGCTGCCTCATGTGGTGCAAAAGCTTTGGTTTTGCTGCTTGCTGATTGAAAGAACAGCCTGGAGTTACCTACATGAAACTTTAAATGTATGAAGAGTTGATCTGTATTTTGCAACGTAGTGATTTGAGGAAAATGAAGTGCCTGTGTGTGTTATAAATGGGTRGAGGATGTTGTTTGGAGCCGTGCTGCGAGTGTCGTGTTGTGTTTTGTGACCTCTGGCTGTTACAAGGGTAGTGAAGGGCTTGGACTCAAGGATCTCATTAGCAGCAGACACATTAGCAAATTATATAGCAGCTTTACTATACGTGGATTTATGCAGCTACGTTTAGGATCAGAGTCTGCAACTCATGGCTGGAAGTGAGAGGTGGTTAATGCACAGAAAGGCTGCAGGTTCTGCTGGCCCTTTTACAGGATAGTTCTCAGTTAGGCACCTAAGATAACCATTTTCTGTTCATTTTAAGGCAATCATTTATTGCTGTGAAGGTCGTTCTCATGCAAAAGCAACCATGCCTGACAAGTATCCCTCAAACCATTTGGTTTCAGTTTGTGTGCATCTGGCTGACAACTTTATTCTGCACTTATTGGGACAATATTTGCAAAGGGCAGATGGGAGCTGATCTCAACATGAGCTTGGTCCCTAGAGCTACAAAGCTGTGAGACTCTACTTGGAGCATTAGGGAACTTCCATGTCCAGCAAATACAGAGAGCATCTCCACACACACACCTTCAAGAAAAGGAGAGAAAGGTAATGAATTTAGCTGCAGAACACTAAGCAAAAATTAAAGCAAACTTTAGTACTAGAAAAAAAAAAAAAGAATTTTGCTTGGGTTGTTTGTAGTCAGCTTCTATGACATTTAAAATAATAAGAGATTTACTTTTTCAGTGGGGGAGCCTGAAGGGCTGTGGCAATGAATGCATGAGTCCAGCAGGAGCAGGTTTTGAAGATACTGTTAAAAAACTGAGATATATCCTGTATCCTGTCTCTGAAAGAAGCAAGCAGCAAACATTTAGGTAATGCCAGTTATGCCTTGGTGTTACCAGCAGGTTCATCATCACGCTTGATTTTAAACTACAGAGGCTGGACAGAAGCTCTTAACCTTTAAATAGTTCATTTACGAGGCTGGATAAATGTATTAGTGGTGCTGTCTTCGCCTCAGCTTTTCTGTTGCTGCTGCATGTTGGTATTTCTGTGGATGGAGGCTGACACCTGGGGAGTGACTGACGATGCCTGAGCCTTGTCATGAGTGAGGTYGGTCCTGTGGTGGCAGAGATGGAGGCAGAGGTTGGGGCACCCACCACGTTCACGCCTGCCTCTCCAGCCAAAGAGGAGAGGGGGCTGATGGAAACCCCAGCTCTGTTAGTCTGGATCTTTCCTTTCCTGAAGTCACTGAAGGAGCATTTAATGTGATGGTCCTGTCATTGTGAGAAGAAATTGGAAATATTCTGGTCACTTATTAAATAATCTAAATAATCTTTTTAAAACAGAAGGACTCTTTTTCTGGTGCTATCCAACARTGTTTTTGAAGAGCCATCTCCTTCTGCCTGCTTCAGATTATATGTTTTGGTTTTAGCGTGCTTACTACAGAAGCAGATCCAGGATATTTAAAGTGCTGGAAACTCTCAGAATGAAATTAGAAGGAAAGAATTWGGATTTAAATTGAATAGATAGTTTCTTTTTTAAACTGAAATRCCTGTCTTCTTAAATAAGACTTGAGCTTTTAGTAAAGCCCAGCTTTTAAGACACTATATTGTCAGTATGATGACATTTCTTTCATGGAAGCACAAGTTATAATTTGTTAAGTAAGGAAACAAACTTAAAAGACAAAGGTCTTTGAAGCTCCTGCTTTACAAGAAGAAAGTAATACTTTTTTTTCAGGTTCGAGTCACTTTTCTATCATTAAGTAAGAGACTTCCTTGTGTAAAGAAAGCTATGTATAAAGATTTGTCAGCTTCTTTGTATAAAATAGGCTATACAATGTAGTTGGATGAATTGTTACTGTAAGCAAAAGCTTTCTAGGAGAAAAATCATCTATTGAGGAGGTTCTTTGCTGATACGAAATGGGCTCTGATTTCAGAGGTCTGAAGGCAGCTGCTTGTTGTGTCTGTTTTTCAGAGAGATGGTTTTTCAGAGAGATGGTCCCTGGGCCAAGGCCTTTTTTAGTGCTTCAGTGCGTTTTTGATACGGAAACCTCAGCAGTAGCAGCACCAGAGTAAGAATTTTTTGCCCTTAGTCGTTTGTTGCCACTTCTGTTGCTGCTTCCTTTCATAATACAGCATTTGTGGGACCACATGTGGATAAGATTAGGGGGCTGATCTTTGTAACAGTAAAAATAAGAGCGTGGCAGCCGGGTCCCACTAAGCCCTGTCCTCAGGCGTGAGGCAGGAAGAACGGACTGGGGGATCTGCAAGCCGGGACTGCTGCCAAGGCTGCYGTGTGGTGGAGCTGCCGCCTCAGTCCCCTTCATGGAAAATGTGCTTCCTGTAGGCCTGGCATATATATCTGTTTTCCATATGCTGCTTAATTGCTTACCTCTGTTGCCCAGATATATCCCTGTACTTGAATTTGAACATTTTCTCAGGATTTCGGGGACTTCTAGCAGACCACTTGGAGCCATCAGGGTTTAATTTGGCCTTTGGATATAGCTCTCTGCAACTACCTGAAAGGAGGTTGTAGTGAGGTGGGGGTTGGTCTCTTCTCCAGAATAACTATGGATAGTTATTCTATTATAGTTATTCTAACTATGTTATATAGTTATTCTATAGAATAACATGAATAACATAGTTATTCTAACTATGGATAGTTATGGGTAATGGCCTCAAGTTGCGCCAGACGAGGTTCAGGCTGGATGTCAGGAAGAATTTCTACATGGAAAGAGTGGTGAAGCCTTGGAACAGGCTGCCCGGGGAAGAGGTGGAGTCACCATCCCTGGCAGTGTTCAGGGAACGTGTGGATGAGGAGCTTAGGCATGTGGTTTAGCAGGCAGGATGGTGAGGGGCTTGCGGTTGGACTCAGTGACCTTGAAGGTCTTTTCCAACCATGATGATTCTGTGATTCTGTATCAGGAAATCCTTGGCCTGCAGATCAGTTATCATAGGAATGCAGTGAGTCTCTCCTGGTGTCTGGCTGTTATGCACATGGTGTGGAGTTCTTCGTCAGTGAAGCCGTGCAGAAAACAGGAGTTCATGTGTATGTGATGCATACAGAGTAACTGAGCGCTTGAGTAATTGAGCATATTGAGTAACGTAGAGTAAATATTGAGTGCTGCCTGCGCTCTGCACCATGCAGGACGGAGCAGTCCTGCCTTGTGGAGGAACCTGAGCTGGGATCCTGGCACCATTGCCTGCCCGGGAGAAGACTGTTTGCAGGTTGGAAGGGGTGCTGGGGCTAGAGCAAATGAAGAGATTGGTTGCTCTCAAGAGGTTGAGGAGCCTGAAGTAAAGCTGCATGGTATTTGATTCAAAGCAAATAAACGGTGCAGTTGTTCACAAGGTGCATAGTTGGGCCATGGAGCTGCTCCACGATTTCAGAGCCTGGAAATGTAATATGTGTTAAGGGGGTGAATGTGAGCAGCTTTACTGACGAGAGCTTCCTCTGACAAGTGAAGTCCCTGAGCTGCAGGGARTGGGAGCCTGGAGAGAAGTGCCATGTGCTCCCCCCATCTAGGAGCCCAGCTAGTCCGGGCTAGCAAGGCTGCAGAACCCGCTGGCCTGTGCTAGTAGTCATGACATCTCTGTGAATGCCTGGAAAATCTGCAAAGCCTGAGCTCAAGATCAGTGGCATAGCCAGTGATGAAGCTTCAGTAGGAGGGAATGGGAGAATGGGGGGAAGAGAGGACAAATCCTCTCTGTTTTCCTGTCAGCTGGGCAAAYAGGATGTTTCTGTT